ATAAATAGTTTTTATTAGATATTACTAATAATAATTTTGTTTATTTAATTATGCCATTTAAAACGGCATTTACTTGTTATCTTAGTAAATAAATAACTAATTAAGCATTCATTATTATTTTTTAATTTTATAAATTTGTGAATTTTTTAAAATAATTTGTTTTTTTTCTCAATTGAAAGTAAATGGTCAGGCTCATTATTCCTCGTGAATCACCCTGTATAACAGTGACGAGTGAGAAACAATCAATAAAAAATCAATTAAACGAGACTACTTTTGCCAAGATTGTACAAAACTAGAGCATATGAGACTGAAATTCGTACCAACTGAAATAAAAATTAAAGAAAAAAATTACAAGAGTCTAGATATACGCACCGAAACAAACAAATTGTAATTTAAACAAATCCCAGTACAAATGATACTCTCATTCTTAGTAAAATTCGTCATAAATATCAAAAAAGTTTTAATGTTTTTAAGATTCCAGTAGTACCAAGGAGACCCGGACAAAGTATAAAAAATATTGCCTGTCTAAAATAAAATCAAGAAATAGTATATTACATAACGAGCACGGAAAGTGATAAATAACGCAACTTTCCCGCTTGTGCGTTAGACACTTTCCTGCAAGTTTTGTACACTATTTTTCCTACGACCATAAATAATTTTTTTCTTACAAACATATTTTTTTTTCATAACGATTTATTTTTTATAATGGATACAAAAATACGTTGAATAACGATTTATTTACAAAACATTACATTACATACAAAACATTCGAGTGTGAATTGTGCGTTAGATTTCTAACACACAGTGCGAAAACAAATCGCACAGGTTTTCGACCTCGTACGATATTGCCAATTTTCGAGCATACCAGGTGAATAAAAAGTATGGAAGCAAGCGTTTTTTTCGTAAACTAAGCACTTTACGAAAAAAATAATTAGTGTAGCGTAAAGTACAATTAAAATGTGACCATTTATCAAAAATAACATTTTTCGAAATTTCTTTTAGTTTTCAAGTTCTGAAAAAAAATTTTTTTTTAAACCCACCATGGCAATTTTCTTAATTAAAGATTATGATCTAAAAATGACCTCTAATTAAATAAAATTGTTTTTTAGCCAATACTTTTTTTTAAATTAATTGTTAAAGTTGCGTTCCGAGCTCATCACGAAGATTTTCCGAGCTTAACCGAAGTGGTTGTTTCATGCTTTTCATCATGGGAGAGCGCTGATTTCTATGCAGGTGCTTTGGAGTGGTTACGAATGGACTAAAAATAGAAGAAAATGATTTGTTATTACATTTTTTGAACCAACTTTAACAATTTATTAAAAAAAGTACTGACTAAAAAACAATTCTGTTTAATTAGAGGTCATTTTTAGATCATAATCTTTAATTAAAAAAATTACCATGGTGGGTTGCCATTTAAAAAAAAATTTTTTTTCCAAAACTCGAAAACTAAAAGAAATTTCGAAAAATGTTATTCTTGATAAATGGTCACATTTTAATTGGACTTTACGCTAAACTAATTATTTTTTTCGTAAAGTGCTTAGTTTACGAAAAAACGCTTGCTTCCATACTTTTTATTCACTTGGTATGTAATTGTGCATTATGATCTAGTTTCGTAAATGGTCGTAGGAAAAAGTAATTAAAATATTTGATTACAAACCACATTAATCAGTTGTTGACCATTCCAACAAAACAGTATAGCGCTGCACACAGAACTTACAGCAATCATAAAGATTCTTATTTTTAAAATATTGGTCATGGTGTCCACAAACTACAACATATTTTTACCAATTTTTGAAAAATTTTTCATAAACTTACATTTATGATGAACGCGAAACAGCTAATGAAAAGAAGAAGTCCAAGTAGTAAAAAAAACGGCATTCCTGTCACTGTAAGATTTACACACATTTTCACTAATCTACAAATAATTTATTTAAATAAATTAATTCAATGAAGCTCAGCATTTTACTTTTTTAAAGCGACATGTTGTCTAATACAAGTACCTAACGATTCTCCTATTTTGCGTTGATAGTGAGTGTCTTCTAAGGATTTCCACCGTTTCAAATTATCACTTTGGAATGTTTCAAACAAATATTCTTCAAGGAGAAAGTACTGCAATTGTGCATGTAAAATTGCCCAAACAAACATTAAAAAAACTCTCAACAAATGATAATATAAAAATGGAAAACTGAAAAAATAAAAATAATGAGGAATAAACGACCATTCCCCGAAATATTCCTCAAAAATTCCATAAGAAATAAAAACTTCTCTCTGATCTCCAAAATATGGAGCGTTGATAGTTATTGCACTTGCAATTAAAAGTACAAGACATCCTATGCAGATATTTATAATCCGACATTTTTTCTGGAGCTTCAATTGAGCTTTCTCCCTTATCATACTAATTGACCAACGAATTTTATAATAATATTTTACTACTTCTAGAATATCATTTCCCAAAAAGACAGAAAGAGCTGCAGCGACAATCGCCTTAAAACAAACAAATCATCACAATAAAATTTCAGTTTCAAATTTCACTTACAAGTAAGTAAAGTATTATTGCTGGACTATATCTAATCAAAAGGTTTATATCACAATTTTTGATCATGTAGTATATTAATAAACCGTGAATTAGTGAGGAAAGTGTAATAAGCAAAAGAGTACAAAATGTTATTATTTTGTAATTATGGGCGGTAAAAAAAACAAACGTTCTCAGAATTATGAAAGGATCTGAAATTAATGGATTAATGATTTAGTTATAATTTATTAGCAACCTTTACTACCTTTAAATTCGGCCATTGTGTTAAAAACTCTTCACTGTACTGTAATCAAAATTGTTCTACTCGCACAAATATCGAAAAAGTCATTAAAGATCATCTTAAATTAAAATATTCACAATCACATTATCATTAATCTCTGACTTAATTGCAATGGTACGGTGTTTGATTAACCAGGAATAACAAACAATAATGGATGGTTATATTTTTCCTTTTTTTTCTACATATTCACGGAAAATCCATTAATGGAAAAACGTATTTTATTCTATTATGCGCAGTTTCAGACTTAGTCACAGAACACACAAATTTTGTCTTAATTTATTTGTCAAAAATTGGACTTAATTGTTTTTCCATGTACGCCCACAAAAAAATTACCAAATTATTTATTCCTAGGAAGTAAATAATAGTTATTTATTTAATTATTTATTTTATTTGATCAATTTTTCAGAACAGTGCAATTAAGAGTTTTCGATGGCCGAATTTAAAGATAGTAACCGTTGCTAATAAATTATAACTAATTTTTTTAATGCTCATAATTACAAAATAATAACATTTGCTTTCTCTCTTTTTTTCTTTTTTTTCTTAAACTAGCCAACCAGAATTACAGCAATTTCAATTACGATAAATGTAATTAATTAATGAATGTTGCTTAATCTCAAATATTTTATTCAAAAAACGATCTTTAATAACATTTTGATATTTGTGCGTAGGATTTCAGATCAGTAAAAAGTTTTCAACAACGCATTATGGCCAAATTTAATGGCAATGAATGTAAAATTAATTCATTAATTTTTAGATTCTTTTATCATGATTTCAGTTTACGTTGGAAATTGTTTGTATTACTCACCACAATGCTTTAAAAAAGTTTTAATTTTTCATTTTTATAAAACCAGTATTTTTTAAATATTTATTTATAAGTTGGTGAAATTGGTAATAAATATTATTAACAGTCATGCCGTTTTTTCTACTTTTGAGAGTTTTTCTTTTAATTAGTTGTTTTCAAAAGCAGTCTCGTTTGAAACAACCAAAAACGAAACACTGATTGTTTCTCATTTCTGTTATATTTAATATTTAAAAAAGTCGTGTAGAATTATTTACTGTGACATAATTTCCTTTTCCACAAATTCAAACAATTCATAAACTACAGTTTAATAATGAACATAAAAAGAAAATTCCTTCTTTGCCCTACGTAAAAATGAATTGCGGGAGTGTCGAAGACGCCTCTAGAAATAACTTCCAAAGTCTCAAAAATTATTTATGTGACTTTTTATGTCATATTCGAAATTGCTTATCCAATGACAATCAATAAATTACAGTTTAATAATAAATATAACATTATTTTTGAATCCATTAGGGTCTACATTTAAACATGCTTTTTAATCATTCTTATTAGGAAGATATTGATTGAAAACATAAAAAATCCGTTTCAAAGTATAAAAATAGTTTCAACAAATTAAGTAAAACTCCACTTAAGAACAATATATTATTTATTTTTTAGTATATGTATACAAAATGACGCATAAGCTCTTCAGTTTTTTTTAAATGTGGTTGCAATTTGCAAAAAAAATTGTAGGTGCTTTATTTTTAATATGGTAAAAAGTTTAATTGCTTTAAACAAGACCATTTTTGCGAAGATTATAGAAAACTAAAACATAAGAGGCGGAGATTCGCAACACCTGGAATAAAAATTTAAGTCAAAAAACAAGTCTAAATGCACACACCGAAACAATAAGTTGGTAATCTACACAAATCCCAGCCAAAACAATACTTTCATTTTTGATACAATTCGTCATAAAAATCAAAAAAATTATACGATTGTCACGATTCCAAAAGTACCAAGGAGCTTCAGCCAAAGTAAAAAAAATATTACTCGTCTGAAATAATTGAAAAATAATTTGTACCCAAAAAAGTTAATCTTTTTACAAACCACATTTATCAGTTGTTGACCAATCCAACACAACAAAATACTGATGCATAAATTACTTGCAATATACGAGTAAATTCGTATTTTTGTAATATTGGTCATTGTGTCCGCAAACTGCAACAATTTTTTTACCAATTTTTGAAATATTTGTAAAAAACAAACATTTATGATGAACGCCATACTACTAATAAGAAGAAGTATCCCAAGTAGCACAAACAACGGCAAACCTATTAATGTAATATTCACAATCATTTTCACCAACCTACAAAAAATATATTTAAACACATTGTATTAAAATGCAGAGTTTACAACTTTTTTAAATCATTGTGGTGCTTAATACAAAGCCGCAACGATTTCCTAATTCCTTCTTGATATCGAATGTCTTGTAAATATTTCCAACTTTTTTGATGTTCAATCTCATATATTTGTAACAAATATTCTTCAATTATAGAAAATTGTAACTGTACTTCTAAAATGCCATAAACAAAAAAAAAGCATATTTTTAAGAAATGATAACATAAAAATGTAATTCCTATGAAATAACAAGAGTTGAGAATAAACGACCATTCACCAAAATATTCCTCAAAAACTATAAAACAAATAAAAAAGTCTCTCTGACTTCCAAAACAGGGATAGTTGACAATTGTAGAACTTAAAAAAATTAGCATAACAACTGATGTATAGATATTTATGATCTGGCATTTTCTCTCGAACTTTCTTTGAGCCTTCTTCCGTATCATACCAAGAGGCCAACAAATTTGGTCAAAAAATGTTAAAATTTCAAAAATTTTCTTTTCGAAAACCACAGAAAAAACTACTGTGACAATAGCCTCAAAAAAGACAGTTATTACACTAAAACAACACTTTTTTTACTTACAAATAGGACAAATAGTGTTGTTGGACTATACCTAACTAACAGATTCATGCTAAAATTTTTGTACATGTAGTATATTTGTATAGAGTGAACCAGTGAATAAATTATAATAAGCAAAACATTACAAACTTTTGTTACTTTGTAATTAATGTAATTATTTAAAAATATCTTTCTCAACATGATGAAAGGATCTGAAATTTAACAAATTAACTTGTGATTTATCTCCAGTTATTACCATTGAATTTTGGCCCCATGTTGTGTATTCAAAACCCTTTGCTGTACTGTAATTCCAAATATTGGAAATTCATTAAATAACGTAAAAATAAAATATTTAGCAAAACTCATTAAATCATTATTATCTAACTACAGAAAATTACAGTTACAATTTGTAAATACGATTACCTAGAAACAAAAATTGCTAGTTATTCTTGTTGATTGTTGTATTTAAAAACAACAATAGTTACTTTTTTATACAAAATTAAAAACAAATGATCGTTAATATGAGTGATTCTGAATAACTTTCTTAGTTCTAGAGATATTGCCAATTGCAAGTTTTAAAATTGACACTCTGTATATATTTTAATTGATGATTTACAAAATTTAGTTCAACACTCGGTTCAACAAATTCGTTATTTCTAGAAAGTAAATAAAAAATATTGTAAATATCGGATTATGGAGAATAATTTTTTTTTTTTATTTTCTCTGTTTATTTTTCAAAATTTTTGACCCCTGAAAGCGCTTCTTTATTTTACGGAATATTTAAAGTATGGACAAGTAATTAATTATTTACTCAGAATTTAGCTTTGGCCATTATATTGTGTTGAAAACTTTCCACTATCAATAAACTACAGTTTAACAGTAAATATAATATTATTATATTAGATTATTAAATGCTTTTTTATAATTCATATTGAGAAAAATGGCTTTTGGGGGAACGCTCCAATGGAATGTGTACACTTTGGTTTGGAACCTTGATAAATTGTAGTGAACAAAGATTTACTTTTGTGTTTTATGGGTTGTATAATGTTTACTTGTGATTGTAATTTTTTCTAAGAACTAGACCAAAAACATCAAAAATTGTAACATTTTATACGCAAATATAATTTTATTTATTTAAAAAAAAAATTACATTTGTCGAAATGGACTTGAAATTATAAAATTTTTGTCAAATGAGTCTAGAGATTGGAGACACGGCAATTATCTGAAAACGAGTATTTTTTTATAATTCTACTTATTAAAAATTACTACGTAATATCAAATTCTTGTTATTTGCAAGCATTATATTCGTAAGTAAAATTTTTAAAACAGGTAACTGTTATAAAATTACATTACTTATTCATATTTTGCTAGCTAAAAACTGGAAATGGGTAAT